TTCTTATTTTAAGCTCTCAATAATTATTTTAATGGAGGTTGCTAATATTTCATAATCAATATTTTGAAAACCAAAGCTAAGTCAAAATTTGGATAACTTTTATAGCATTTGAAAAAATCTTTGAGACAATTATTATAGTACCACAACCACTTCAAACGTGTACCTAAACATGTTTGACATAGCATAAACACTAGAGTCATTTTCAACCATTTTGCATTTATAAATCCACTAGTGAATTTCAACGCAAGAAAACTTTGTATCAAATTACTAACTCACCCCTAAACTACACACTTCAATATATTCAAATATAAGGGTCATATTAGTCACGCCAACATAATTTAAATATTTAAACAAAATTATGTTATTTAAAAATATATTTCTAAATATTTAAGAATACTTAAATAATGCAATAGTTTTAAAAAAAATTATTATCATTCTAGTTCATCTTAATTCGAAAGAATTAATCTCTTCAGTTGCATTGGAGTATACTCGATATATATATATATATATATATATATATATATATATATATATATATATATATATATATATATATATATATATATATATATATATATATATATATATATATATATATATATATATATATATATATATATATATATATATATATATATATATATATATATATATATATATATATATATATATATATATATATATATATATATATATATATATATATATATTTCTTAAAATATTTAAAAAAATGTGACACTAATATTAATATAACTGCATGCTTTTATGGAAACTTTCAACTACCAAAACCAATACCACAAGAAAAAGAAGACAAAACATGTAATAATCATCAAAGAAAAAAAAAACACAAGCATATTCTTGTTTAAAAACCTCATAGTAATTGTCATTGTAATCTTTGTTCCTTCATGGCTTTAAACATGATGTTTCATCTTCTAAGCCATGTTCTTGTTATACAAATTTTTCTAATACAAACTCACTATTGCCAACCCAATTCACCTGAAAACCAAAACATTGAAACTTTTTATCCCATTGAAACTCCACCACAATCCACACCACCATCACCACCATCATCACAAGCACCAACATCATCATCCACAACAAATTCTCCATCAAACAATAACATAGTAACTGCTGTAGCTGCAACTGCAGCAGGAACTTTAGTTCTTTCTGCTCTAGTTTTCTTCTTTGTTCTCAAGTGCTTTAGAGCAAAGAAAAAGAATGTGAGAGTCAACAACAATAACAACAACACTGGTTCTTCTTTAGCTCATAGAAATGCTGTGCCTCAAGTGAAGAATGTGTTTGAGAAAATGGAAGGTAACATAAAAGGACTTATTGTTGATGAAGATGGTTTGGATGTTGTTTATTGGAGAAAGCTTCAAGATCAAAACTTTGATAAGGATATGAAAAAGGGTGTTTTTCTGAATAGTCCTAGAAACAAAGATCATGAAGATGATGAACAAGGGAAGAATAATCAAGAAAATCATTTGTTTAGAGGAAAATCTTCAACCTCACATATGAATATATTTCCACAAGAATCATCATATACAATTATGAAAATTACACCTCCTGCTCCTCCTCCTCCTATTCAACCATTTTCTCTAAATCTTCTTCCTTCATCACCAAAAAAGCTCTCTACTTTTTACTCATCAATTCCAAATGTGAAAAATCATGCACCATCAATGGTTTCTGATGATAGAAAGAGTCAAGAACCACCTCCGCCGCCGCCGCCACCTCCTCCATCAATAGTACCTAATAGAAAAAGCTCTACGCCACCACCTCCTCCTCCTCCTCCACCGATTCCTGATAGAAAGAGTATTGCAACACCGCCTCCGCCACCTCCTCCTCCACTATCAACTAGAAAGATTTCTACACCTGCGCCGCCGCCACCACCGAAGACAAGTGGATTGAAGTTGAAGTCATCATCAAAACCACCACCTACCCCTCTTGAAACAAAATCTACCAATGATAAACAAGGGAATTCTTCAAGTGAAGTGAAACTAAAACCATTGCATTGGGATAAGGTGAATACTAATCTTGATCACTCTATGGTGTGGGACAAAATCGACCGCGGTTCATTCAGGTAATCCTAATATACTATATTTTCTTAAAATAACATAACTAAATTTTGATCGTTTGAAATTATTTAGCTTTTGGCCGAACTCCAGATTATTAGGGTCATGGCCTGAGAATCGGAGGGTTAAGACAGAGAATATTTATCGATGATTTTTTAAAAATCTTCAGGGTTGATGATGGTCTTATGGAAGCTCTATTTGGGTATGTTGCGGTCAAACCAAACGATAACACTTTAAAAGGAAAAGAATCAACTAGTCCAAGCAAGGATGCATCAACAAATGCTTTCATTCTTGACCCTAGAAAATCTCAAAACACTGCTATAGTTTTGAAATCTCTTGCAGTCTCGCGAAAAGAAATCATCGATGCACTCCTTGATGGCCAAGGCCTTAATGCAGATACAATTGAAAAGCTTTCAAGAATCGCTCCGACAGAAGAAGAACAATCTCACATACTCGAATATGAAGGAGACACGACAAAACTTGCAGCTGCTGAATCTTTCTTGTACCACATCCTCAAAGCTGTTCCTTCGGCATTCAAGCGCTTGAATGCGATTTTATTCAGGTTGAATTATGACTCGGAGATCAAAGAAATCAAGGAGATTCTACAGACACTTGAGATGGCGTGTAAGGAGCTTCGAAGCCAGGGAGTTTTCGTGAAACTTCTTGAAGCAGTTCTTAAGGCCGGAAACCGCATGAATGCAGGTACTAATAGAGGTAATGCTCAAGCTTTCAACTTGGTTTCTTTAAGGAAACTCTCTGATGTGAAGAGTGTTGATGGAAAAACCACATTGCTACACTTTGTGGTCGAAGAAGTAGTCCGTTCCGAAGGGAAACGTGCGGTTCTTAACCGCAATCATAGTTTGACTCGTAGTTTCAGTAGAAGCAGTAGCAGCAGCAGCATTGGAGACTCTAAGAATTCTGCTACCTCGAATGAACAAAAACTGATGGAATATATAAAACTAGGATTACCAATTGTAGGAGGGGTCAGTGCCGAGTTTTCCAATGCAAAGAAAATTGCTTTAACAGATTACAATAGTTTTGCCGGTTCTGTCACAACACTCTCTGCAAAGATAGGTGAAATTCGACAACTTGTTTCGCAGTGCGGAAATGATAAAGGAGGGAAGTTTGTGAGAGACATGAACCATTTTCTTGAAAATTCTGAGAAGGATTTGCAATTGGTGAGGGAAGAACAAACAAGGATAATGCAGCTTGTTAAGAGAACTACAGATTATTATCAAGGAGGAGCTTCGAAAGACAGTGCAGGAGAACAGGCTCTTTATCTATTTGTCATAGTCAAGGATTTTCTCGGAATGGTCGATCAAGCATGTATCGAAATTGCGCGTAACATGCAGAAAAAGAAGACATCTAAGGCAAAGTTCTAAAGAAAATCTCCCAGCAATATGTCCATGACATCGGATTTTTCATGTCTTCGCGACTTCAATGCAATTGCGATGGACGCTGTATAAGTCGTATTTGACTGCAATTTTCCACAACATCATGTATTGTGACCTGTCAGCAGGTGCAATTTAAAACCTTGTATGACAAGTTAAAGGTTCAAGTCAGCAGAGGCACTAGCACAAAGGACTCTTTGATTGGCCTAACTAATTCAACTTTTTCCTATGGGACCATTTGACAAAGGAACTGAAATTCTGCCATGACAGGGCCAATTTGTGTCTGAAAAACTAAGAAGCTAATACGTCCCTGTCCTTGTGATATCATCATTTTCCACATTTCAACGTCTAAATGTATGTGTTACATGTATAGAGAGCAATTGTTCATGAACATTTTTGAAGTCTAGTGTATATACACGTTGGTTCTTTTGGCAATAACTAGAACTTGCTCCATATCCTCTTGCTTTCTATAGTATTTGGAGATGCAATGACTATGTTTGAAAAAAGATCCCACCATTCATATACATTTTTGCGAACCAGTATATCTAGATGTCCTCACTTAACACATTCAAGTCATATTTAGAAAGTCAAAAAAGGATTTACAAAAATTGGAGACTTAAAAGACAAGTATTACAAATACATAGTTTTCACCTAAGCAAAATAGAATGTAAATTTAACAAAAAAAAATGTCTCTACCCTAAAAGTAAAAGTTAAAGATCATATTATCCATCAAATCAAACAATAGAGAAATAGAAGTTGAATATCATATCATCCATCAAATCAAACAACAGAAAAATAGAAAAATAAAAGAGAATGTAAATCATTAAATTCAAACTGAATGGTTGAAATGAAGAAGAGCTTCAAAAATCTTATGACACAAAGTACCGCTCAAACTGAAGAAATTTTTTTATCGGAATACAGTAAAACCTACTATTGGTGAATATAAAAAAACATGGTTTATAATATATTGCCGGTGTTGTCGATCAAAGTTTGCAAAAAAAAAAAAAAAGATATAGCACGGTAACAACATTCGCAGTGTGATAACATGTTGTACTAAACATCATATCGCCTCAAACTTTGTTGTGTTGTATCAACTATATGACAATAACATACATTGTTATAACTTTTTAAGAGATATGTGGTCTACAACACGTTAGAAGCATATCAGTCCCCTGTAAAATGAACAGACAGAAAAATGACCAACCAATTGCAAGAAAATATATGCATTTTCGACATTATTACGGATATCATACAATAACATTTCTAGTTCGAACTTCATAGAAGGGGCCGCAAAGAGGGAGCGTGTCATCAATAAATGATGCAAACTCTTTCCTCCTACTACTCCTCACCATGCTCATGATTAAGCTCCTATTTATAACTAGAAGAACATTGCTCCACTGTTGCTTACTAAACTAGAATATCATAGTGTTGAATTGTCTCCATTGACATTTTCCCTGAACATATACTACTACCATACACACTGATGTATTTAGCTTCTATTTCTTTACTCCTCTCTTTACCTTCACCATTTGTGCAGCTACCGACGGTTCTCAGTTTTCGCATCACCCTGCATGCGTAGTCATGAAAACAGGACACTATCAGATGCAGGCATGGAACATAATAGGGCTCTAGAATGGATCACAATTTAATCAACAACAGAGTGTTTGGGTTTATTAATTCTTGGAACATTTGTGCGAAAAGTTATTTTAACTTGATGAACATTATCTAGATAGTGCTGACAAAAAATCACTTTTAGATGCAGCATTATTACATTAAAATGGATATGTAATTATTGTTAAAGTAATTAGATGGTATTAAAATACTTCGGTCACTATTATAAGCAAAAATATTCATTTTTAGAGTTGATTGAATTACTGATGTATTTGATTTATATTTTAGATCAAATACATCGATTATTCAATGAATTTGAAAATGAAACATTTGCTTATAATAGTGACCTGAGGGAGTATGAGGGTAACTTGGAGACTATATATATCAAACATGATTTTCCTTTCCTTAAAGGAAATAATTTATAACTTTCGCATTTGAATAATAATAAAATCATGGTTTTGATTCAAAACCAATTTTGTACAAAATTACCAAACATGTCACCACATAAGACCTATGAGAATCTTAATAATAGTGTGTTACTAGAGCAATTCTTAGGAAATTATTTAGATGGTTTTATGAGAAATAGTAGAGTTTGATGGCATTGTTTAGAGAATGGATCCTCTTACATGAACATGAGACGAAGAAATGTAATCTCTCATCATTCAAAAAAGATCTAAAAACAGGGGTGGGTCCACCTCTCCCGAATTTGAATGGTGAGATATCACATTTCTCCGGATCCTATGATTTTTTATATACGAGCAGATCTATTCCCGTATTTTTAGAGTACCACAATCCTAAAAATCTTGTTTGACTGTAAAAAAAAAGAACTTTCATCATTATCTAGTTGTATGGACCACCAACCCATATGCTCATTTGGCAGAAAACATGTTAATTTTAAAAGCAAAACAAGACAGCCAGGTCCCATAGGTCTCTCCCTAACTTGATTACAATTACCAGACACTCCAGTTATTATTTGTGAAACTTAAAAGTTTAAGTCGACTTCAATTAAAAGTCAAGTTTCAAATTTTAGTCATTTTCACATGTCTCGTGATTGCAAGCAATCATTCAGCTGTTACCAAAAGTTATGCTTTAGATTGCTTTTTAGAATTAAGCAACACATAACTTTTCGGTTCAGTTATGAACATGATAGATATGAGTTCAGATGTATAGCACATACCTTTTCTATGCGACTTTTTGATGCTTTTTGACCACGATTAAAAGTTGGTAGGGGTGTGGCCTTGAAATCATGTTTTAGCTTTTTCATTTCTGCTTCTTTTTCCTCCTGTGTTCAGACATGTTAGTCTACGAAAATAGAAATGTCCATTCATACCCCAGATCATCAGCCCTTCTATAATAAGTTTCACAGTGAAAACTTACTATAGAAAATTTTACATGCTTGTTCAGTTTCACAGTGAAAATTATCAGAATTTATGAAAGTTTGCTTACTGTAAGTAAAATTGATTTTGTATCCAAAGCTCAATTTGACCAGAAATGATTATATAAAATTAATTTAGTAAAAAGTGAGTTGACTGAGTGTGTTTGGATTTAGCAGAACTCACGGTTTGACCATTGAGCAAGAAGCTCTAGTTTCAAGTTTTATAAAATCGATGTGTATGCCTTGAGAAGTAAGAATGATGAGCCAATCGTAATTTGTGTCTCCAAACATAAGGCTAAAAATCAATTCTATAGGAAAAAACTCCAAATCTCAACTTCAAGTTCAAATCAATTATGAAGGCTGAATCAATACTACTTGAAGACACTCAAACATGTCAAAATCAATACTATGCTTCTATAATCACTTTTGTCTCTCCCTAAATTGAATTTAAATATTACAATGTTTATATCAAATCTTCGAGAGAAACATTGTGGAATGAGGAAGAGTACCTTCAATTTTGTTTGGAGACACGTTCTTTGTACCTCATTTGCATTAGGTTTTTCCTCTATTTTTCTTGAGGACTAATTAGCACGAAAGAAAAAACATAAGTTAGTCAGACAAAAACTACGAATAAGGAGTAATTTCAATGTTAAACATCAAGAGGTAGTCCTACCTCTTTTCCTTTCTCTGATTTAGTGTCACGTTTTGGGCCCAAAGTTCGTGCAGGATTTCCACTTCTTTTAGTCATCCTCTCAGCTGTAGTTGGCCTATTCAAAAATAATTACCAAGAGGGTCATCATACAGAGAATTTAATTCCATATTATCAAAATAAATCTTTGTCGGATAAAATAACCTTATTCACTGTGTTGGTGAGATGCATAAATAGTATGAAATTAATATGCAAAAAAACAGTTATGCAAAATGCATCAAGTAAATAAATGTGCATGTAAGTCAATAAAATCATAAAAGTGCAGATTTGAAAATTTACCGTCCATTTTCTTTACGCAAAGTTGTAGATGTTGAAACCTTTGACACAGTCCCCCTTAAAGGACCCTGTTCACGTTATACAGAGAAAACCATTTTCAAATCGATGTTGTTTTCCTACAGATAAATATTACCGATAACACCATCCATTAACAACGAACTACAGCATAAATATTTTCCAATTACCTGTATTTTTACTAAAGATCTGTCTACTTCACTGGAAGTTTTCAGCTGGTTGAAACCGTTCTGGAATGTCTTAAATGCTCGTTTGACTATGTCCTTATCCCCCATGCTCTCCATGATGAGAGATTTCCTCATAGTGGTTTGATGAGGAACTGGTTTGACTATGTCCTTATCCCCCATGCTCTCCATGTTGAGAGATTTCCTCATTGCGGTATGAGGAACTGGATCAGGATTACTTGGACCTAAGCTCATAGACATGTGCAAAGATCGGTTAGCAACTTTTTTGTTCTCCACACTGGATGTAGTTTGCCTCTTAGGTAAAGATGGCAAATTTCCTCTTTTAGTTGAAGAGGAAGATGTAGATGTTTTAGTTGGATTTGGTGTCGGCTTTGAACTTCTCGGTGTCGAAAGTTGAGATGCCTTAGATTTTGGTTGCACTGGTTTCTTCTTTGTTTTGGCTACATTACTTTCCCTATTCAGAGAGATAACCTAACCAAAATAGACAGTAATTAAACACTCAATCTTTAAGAAATTTAACATTAGGATTTCACCAAATATGAATTAAATCAAACCTTAGATTCATTTGGATTATCCAATTTCACAACTTTTTCTTCAACTTGTGTAGCCTTCTCTGGTTCCTTGTACACAACATGTGAAATTTCCTTCACATCTTCGGCTTCAATGTCGAGACTTTCTTCTAGTTTTATGCACACATCTTCTTTAGGCTCATCTATCTTGTAGGAACCATGTGATCCACTTTCTTCCTCTTTGTTCTCTACCACCTCAACCGGTGAACTTTGATACTCTATCGAAACCGCAACTTCCTCCTTCAAATCATCCACACAGCTCCGACCAATTTCACCAACCGGGCTGATTTCGATTTCTTGCTTAACGTGTTCCTTAGTGGTACTGAATTCCGAATCAGTCTCACAAGCGTTAACGCTGCCGTTACCGTTACTACTCAGATCTATACCATTTTGTTCTTCTGATCTGAAAGAATCTTTCTGAACTTCCTTCTCTTGAGCCAACAATTCGGCTTTCCGAGCAGCAATCTTTTTGTAATGAGCTTCAAAGTAAGCTTTCTTCTGTGCTACTGATCCAGGTGTGGCACACTTCTCAACTTCTTCCAAATACTTATTTGGAGAAAAAGAAGACCATCTCTCCCAAGACAAAGAATCATTCTCAAATCTCCCAAAAGAAACAGACACTTGCAAAGCAGAATTTGAAGCAGTTGTCTCACCCATCTAACCAAACAACAAAACAACATTTTTACACTCATACAAACAATTTCACAAACACTTAACATACAAAAAAAAAAAAAAAGAACACTAAAATTTTCACTATCATAAATTTAAATTTAGGTATTTATATGATCCAACCCTAGAACAGGACAGATTTGCAAGAAACAATTATAGTAAAAAAAAACTAAAAAATTAAAATTCATACCAAAAACAATATTAATGAAAAAAGGGTTTACCTTATCTTGAACAAAACTCACTTATCTACAACCCAAATGAGTTGGAAAAATATGCAAATTGTGAACAAGCCATGAGAGGCATAATAATTTTGTAGAGATCTAACTGAATTGATCAAGATTGAAGAATAGTTCACAATGAGACAAAAAGAGGACTCTAATAATTTTGCAACAAATGATAGTAAAGAAAAGGAAAAAAAGAAAAAACATATGCATGTGGATTTAGGAGTGAGAAAAGAAAAATTCAGAGAATAACAAAATACCCTATTTTTTTTTCTTTTTTATTTCAATAATTTCCACTTCACCTTTTCTACAGTGGCAGAATCATTTGTCTCATTGTGGTACTTGAGGAAAATCCTAAGAAAAATAGATAAATATTGATTGATAGAGTAAAGTGTAAAGTAATTTCAGGGTTGGAATAATTGTAGATCACAACTGTATATTGTGTTTCTTAAAAGGTGATTTAACTTTTGTTGATAATAAGTACCTCTTTTTTCTTTGGTGAGGGCCATGGTTGAAGCAGTTTAGACTTTAGAGATCATTATATAGTGAAATTTAAAGTACAGAGAATTATGAAGGGAAAAGGTGGAAAATAAAGAGAACAAAAAAGAAACCAGATTTAGAAAATGATTTTTGTAGAGATAATATTATGTAGTTTTATCATAGTGGGACTGTAAAAGTAAATAAATAAATAAAAATAAAGATTATCAAAACAAAAATAATGGGTTAGAGGGTTTGAATGAAGGATTAAATAGGTTGGACTGCATGAATTTGAATAGATTAAATAAAAACATATTTAATGATTAAATTTTTAATATATTGATAGTGTGTAAAGAGAAACAATAAATATATTAGAAACAGAAATATAGCTTAATTATTAATAATTGTTATCATAGATCGAATTCGCAATATTTAAAAGGGTAATAAAAGGGTAATGTTAACTTGTGCCCTTGGGGCACATGTTAAGAAAATCATTTATAGTAAATTTGTATTGAAAAAAATAATTTAAAAATTAATTTTATACTTTAATTAAAGTTTATACACAATTTCCAAGACAATCTTTCTTAATTTAGTTCTTAACATGTGCCCCAAGGGCACAAATTAACATAAATTGATAAAAACTTTTAGTTAAATATATTATCGGTTAAAATTTAATTTTTTTAAAAATAAATAAGTGAAATATTGCGGATTCGAATTCACAATTTTGTGTTAGATATTCTACACAGATATCAACTGAGATAATTTAAAAGGATAAAATCAATAATTTTGATCAATAATCAATTAAAAAACAATATTATAGACTCTTGTTTGGTAAAAATTAAAAATTTTAAAGTAATAAAAGTTTTAAAAAATTATAATTTGTATATGTAACCGTTTAATCATATAACTTGTAATAAAATGGTCTATTTTAAAAAATATCGGTTTTATTTATAAAATAAAAATCAGCATGGCTAACTAAAGAGGGAAAATGTTTTTAAAAATTTATTTGTATATTTTAATATAACCATCAAAAATCTATTTCGGATTTAAACTTTGGCATTTGGTATTCACTAGAGAGTTTTTAATAATTGATAAAAGAAAAAGTCTAGACGGTATAGTATTTTGAATTGTCTACTAAAATTTAAAATATTAATTAAAATATATTTTAAAAGTATTTACGTCCCAAAACTATAAAGTGCTAAGAAAATTAATGTAGATATTTGAATTTACAGTCTAAGTCAATAGTTGTAATTATGTAGGGGAATCAAATTTTAGGAGGTGAATTTAAATCACAATATTTCATTTATTATCTTTTAAATGTTAATTTATGACTATTAAATCCAAAGTAAATGCATACTTAACATATATCTCTGCCAATTCAAAAAAAAAATATCTAAAGTAAATATATGTGTGATTCAGTTTTGCTTTAAAAAATCAATTCAAAATATATTTTGATTCATATAATTTTTGCAAAAAAATAAATATTCAATACTATTTAATTTTAGACAATTTATTTAATCAATTTACATAATTTAAATTTCAAATTAAAAAAAAATTAATTACAATTCTTATCTCAAATTTTATATTATGATTTACGAAATTGATCTTTATTTTTTAAATTTAAATAATTTTATCTTATCTAATACTTTTGCGATAAATTATTATAAATTTATATGAGTGAAAAAAATTAGATAAAAAAATTGAATTTAAATAAAATATTAGTATTATAAATTAGATAAAATTTTAAAAAAAAATCAAAATTATAATTTAATTAAAAAATAATAATATTATTGAGTCGGTATTATTAGAAACTTAATAACAATATTTAGTCGGTATTGATTAAATTGAATTAGATTAGATTTTAGATGTAGATGTTGTAATAAAATAAGAAATGCAAGGCAAGAAAGGAAGGGGCCACATGAAGTATATAAAAGGTTCCATGTGACGGGTCTCATATCTTTATTATAGATGTTCATTGGGCCACATGTGGACCATTATTCAATTACTTCAACTCAAAAAACTTTATAATAACCAAATTATTTTTAATAATTGAATGAGCACAAAAAAAGACAATGTCGTATTCATCCGACCAATTTCAAACGACACCGTTTCCTTCTACATGTTAGTTAGTTCCGAGCATAATTTTAAAATAGCTTGTTTTATTATACTTGGATTGAAATTTATATAATTAAGATATCAAAATAGTGTAATAGTGTGTTTTTTTTTAAATAAAGGTCAAGGCCATATATTAAAAAAAGACCAAATACAAGAAGAAAGGGGCAAATGATACATTAAAGTCCATGCAGACTAGAAGAAAACTCAAATGGTTGGAGGATTGCATTCAGTATTAGTGGGGTGTATTTGAAATGTTAAGTTTACCACTTATTCTTGTCGTTATTTTCAAGTGGCCCAAACCCATTATTATTTTAGTAACCCTACTATTTAAGCTGTTGTAATAGATTGATTTGAGTATGAGAAAAATTATTCAAGTTATTTTATGTTGTCTCATTTGTAGCTTAGAATTTATAGTAACCCTAACAAAGAACTATCATTGGTGCTTTCATTACCTACTCTAATGGCTCCCCCTAAACCTCAAAACCCTTCTTCTATAGAAATCATAGAAGAAGCTGTGCAAACTGCCCACATTCATCTTAATAACGCTATGACTCAAAATCAACAGCAATTGGATGAACGTTTTGATAAAACAAACGCAGATCTGGAACTGGCTCAAACTCGAATGGATAACGAAAAACAAGTATTTGATTCAAGGTATGAATCTATCATGGGAATTCTCACTAAACTTGCAGCTCAAAAGGAACAGCAGCAACACGCTCCAACACAAACTGCAGTTGGATCCTCAGGTATCACAGATGTTCCTCTTCTTTTCTCTATGACAACTACCCATCTCACCCCAGCTCTATCTCATGTTAACAATCCCCATGGTTCCCCTATTTTCATTCATACTAGCACCCACCATATCCACTCAACATCGTTATCAAACAACCCACCACACGCTGTAACAGCCCAATTTTCAATAACTGATTAATGGTACTAGTTAATTGGTTTGTATGATTTAAGTGAATTATTGGATTTAACTGATTTATTCTATTTGGTAGAATAATGTGGACTTACTAGATATTCTCTAATTAAGGATGAGATGGGATATTTTATGAGAAAATGAATTGGTAAATATTTTGAGAGAAGAAATATATTAGAGAGAAATAGAAGGGAAAGATATATAAGGGAAAGTGGGAGGAAAAGGAAAAACAGAAAACATGAGAGAAAGAAAGAGGAAGAAGAGAAAGTAGAAGGAAAAAGAAGGGAAAGCTTGGAAAGCTCAAGAACGACTTCTAGCTTCCGATTAATCGAGGTAAGAGTGTGAAATATTATTATCTTACCAATGTATGTGATTATGTATGGATTGTTTAGATTTGTTTGGTTGTTTTTCCTCATTTTCCATTCTAGGGCATAAATGAGTTTAATCGGTAGAAACCGAGTTTTAACTGTTAAAAATGAGGATAAGTGGTAGATTTTAGTCGAGGAAGGTTGGGCTAAGGCTACTAGGACGAGTTGGAATTGAATCGGTTGGATTTCGATGAGTTTCGGAGTTTTGGACAGTGGGGAATTCTGAGTTCGCAGACCCTCGCTAGCTTGTTCTCTAGGCAAGCAGGTCGCGAGCATTCGCTGTGGCGGGCCAGTAGCGAATGGTCCCAGACTTGGACAGAATGGTTTTGGTGTTCTTCGCTGGTAGCGAAAGGGGTGGCGAGCGCTCGCTAGGCCTTCGCTGAGCGAGTGAGGTAGCGAATCAAGTCAGTGGCTTCTGTTTTCCTTCGCGAGCATGTTCGCTAGGCGAACAGGTAGCGAGCACTCGCTAGGCGAGCAAGGTAGCGAGCATGACAACATGTTGTTTTCTTGTGTTTTTCATCCAATGGTTAATTGTTTGGTTCAATGATGTTAATCCTTATATAACGTGAATAGTTTATGCATTATTGAGATGAGACGTGATGTGGGTAGCCTTATGGCGTGAATCCTAGATTGTGAAGTATGGCCTTTTGGCAATTATATGCATTGTTTGAATTAAACATGAATGCATGAGGAATGTGATTGAGTTCGTTGCAGTTGGCACGACCTTGTGAGTGTATATTGAATTTTATGTGTTAATGTGTGAAGAATGCATGAGAATATAAGTATATATATATATATATATATATATATATATATATATATATATATATATATATATATATATATATATATATATATATATATATATATATATATATATATATA